TCCAAATCCATAGAAAAATTAAATTTTCTGACGTTTCGTGACTTATGTGAGCCGCCTCCTCAGAGAATAAATAACCAAAACAAAATTAATCGAAGTTTAAATAGTACAAACATATTAACTTATTCATATAGTTTACAATAGAGAAATACATTCATTTTTCTATTAGGAATCTTGAAATCAGCTTTGTTGTCACTTCTCTCTAATTATTATAAACGTACTTAAAACCTTGGAAAAACTGATTTCTAAACTTGAATTCATTTTATTCATGAATGTAACTAAGAGCATCACAAATAGCAAATCATTTACATATAACTTTAAAATATTCCACATTGTGGATTTTTTCAATCAAATGAATTAAATCATCAATATGAATAGAAAAATAAATAAACTAATACCTATTTACTACAGATATTTGTTTCCATAAAAGGTATGCCTTTTATTTCCACTAGCAAAACAATATTTATTTATTTATATGTTTACAGTGTATAATAGTTAGTTTTGGTTGTTTACAGAAGGTCAATAATAGTAAGTGTAATTCGTTGGTAATTCGTTCATAAGGTTATAAAGCATTTTGCACATGTTTCTATGGTATGTTTCATATATGCATGAGTAATCAATGACGCAAGCACCCCTGAAACAAATTTTTAAACAAATCATATTATTGCTTTAAGAAATGAATATAATAATAAACAAATATATATATATATATATATTATCTTGTAAAATATATTGTGGGTTGTTATATCAATAATCTGACAAGCGATTAAAAACACTTTAACAGAGATTATTGTATCAACAATATTAATGATCGATATATTTGTTTTTCTTACTGTAATTTCCCTATATATTCTTCTGCAGAATAATCTTTGGTAGCAGTGGAATAGAAGTTTAAAATAGTATTTAAATTCTTTAACAAATGTAAACATAGACGTTGTATTTCCATAATTATTTTTTGGTGAGTTAATTCAGAGTGGGATCTAGGGAATCAAGTAGTTTCATATAAAATCAATAATACATCTTAGTTAGACAACCAATAAAAATCTGAAAGCACCGGACGGCCGTCTCGCCTTAGTATGAGACATCTCAATGTTGTGCGCAGTAGTAGTCGTGTATTCATTAGTGGTTAGCTTCAAGAGGAAATTTTCGTAGTTCAGATAAGAAGTCATGACTAATGGAGTTCATCCGTATCGGATTTGAGGAAGACATTCATCGATGAAAATGAAAAACGGTCGTGGTTTGATTTAAGGTAAACTTGTGCAGTATTGGATTATGAATTAATGGTCTAGGGTTTGGCGTTTTCGTGTGAGATTGGAGGTCCTGGGTTTGATTCGCCGTTTCAGGGTCATGAGTGCATACTTCTGAGGAGTCATATACTAGTACGAAACGGTCGTCCAATGATTCTAGGTTCTTAGTGGCTGTACAACATATATCTTTCCGTGGTTTCAATCATCATTAAAATAAATAAATATACAGTTAACCGATGTCATTGATTTCTCAAATATTTGTTTATTTTCATCGTTTTTTCTCCCATAGGATTTTCATACATAACTCAAATCATCTTTTTTATGCAAATTTTAATTTTCTTTTACAAACAACATTCTTTATTATTTAGTCACTAGTAAAAGAGTAATTCACTGGTTTAATAGAGTTAAACGGGTGTGAAATGGTGAATAATACAGAATAGCGTGATAGAGTGATATTTTTGTTTTTCGACCACTGGAATTGAGTTCATTAGGTTCTGTTGATATGCAAGGTATTCAGCAAGATTTATCCTTAGCTCTATTTTCATTAGATCTATTACCGATTATTAGATAATTTAAAAAATGTTTCTTTACATGTGTCTCACTCAACAAGATTCATATCATGCAATAACTCACAAAAGCATGTCAACAACAAATCTTGAATGAAGCAAAATGTTCTTCAATAATACATTGTAATATTTTTAAATGGTCATTGTACTAATCTACGTGACCAAGGATTTTGGTATTCATTGTAGAGAGAATTTTCCCCTATGTAACCTGGTTATGATATAAAGAGAATTATTATTTAGTAAAAATTTTCTTTAGAAATAATGGGCTTATGTATAATGACCGTTCATCGGAAGCCTAACCAAATGAACTGCTATGCTTAAAATCTGAAAACTTCCAGACGATTTTCTACAATAAATGACTTTTCTCTTTATGTTTTGAAACGTTAGGACATAATAAGTTTACAAAATTTTCATGTTTAGTGAACAACTTTTAACTAAAGTAAGTGAAAATTTGAAATATTTAGCAAAGGTGGCTAGAATATTCTAATCACTACCTATCTTTTCTGCTAGACACACAAAAGTATTTTTGAAGCATTAAAAGCAACATTCTTTATTTAGTTAAAGGAAAAGTTGAGAAAAAAATGCTGTGAATCACACCAACACACATACACAAAATAAATGGCAGTTCAGGATTTTCCCTATGGATTAGAAATCTGGTTTCTTCGATCGATAAACTAGTTGTTTCTTGTATTGTCTAGTTAAATAATCTATACCACTGAGTAATTAGTTTGCCATCGGTTAGTCTTATTTCAAAGCCCCGTAATATGCAGCTTCAATGATTTTTGGGTTGATACTAATGATCAAGAAGTTAACGTACATGCATCGATCCCTTAGAAAAGGTCGTCTGAGCTCGAGAATTTTCCTCATGAAAATTCGATCAAAAGTAAGAATCAGAGTGCCATCATCTAAAAGTCATTCTCAAAGTTTCCATTAGAAGTAAATGATATTTTGATATCTTTTGAATCACTCTCTTAACTGCAACTACATCTTGTGACTGAATATTGTGTATACTTGGTACGCTTTTTGTTAGTCATGAACAAAATATTTCCTTTGAGTCACTGCTTCAACAGTAATATTCGGTCAGTAATTTATTTCATACTTTTTACGCTATCTTCCCGACGAGCCTGTTTGTTTGAAATCCAAGTTTATCAATGCTTCTCAATACCACTAGGATCTATAATAGATTGAATCAACTTGACATTGAAATTAAAAAGTTCAACTACAAATTAAATTTGGGCTATAATATGATAAATATTACATCTAGTTTGTTACCTAACCAATTATTCATTTAGATGTTTGTGTTATTCATCTTCAAGGCTTAAATAAATATGCATATTTTCTGAAATGTTTAAATTAATTTAAAATAACCAGATATAAACACCCGTATTGTATTACCAAGCTTATACATGCCGATTTCAAACTAATTTGATTAAAGTAACCATCAGTAGTAGAATATAACACCAACTATAAACAGAAAACCTTTTCTTTCAATGACATTTAAATGTACTAAAATTTAGGGCAATTTAAATGTTATGTATATTTGGGTGACGGATTAAATTATGGTTTACTTTTTGAAGCCTTCTGATGCCCGTAGATTACAGAATACATCATAGTCACGATCACATAGTACTCCAGATACAATTCATCTTTCCTTAACTTAAGCCATAAACCAACCATATATATAAAATTATATTTAACTTATGCTTTGACAATTTCTGTCATAATTTATTTTAAAGCTTTAGTTATTTCATGTTCAAGATAACTATCACTTCGATGTATCACATCCGAAATCATTATGATATATGTATTATTGACCGCATTTAGTCAAACTACAATGACACTTCCTAATTTTATTTCTTTCTTCATTCTAAAAATTTATCATTTTCTTTTATTATTATTATTTTTCATCAATGAAATAAGTTCAATTTGATTTTGATTAGTTTCCGTCATAACTTGTTTATTTAAACAAAATCTTTATTTGTTTTGATATTATCATCAATGTCTATGTCACTTTGTTTATTGTTTATTATTTATATTGAATGAATGTCTTTTGTTTATATAAATTAATGAATAACGTTTCTTAGTTAATTTGAATTTGTCAATAGTTACAATTTGTTAGTTTGTTTCAATTGCTTTTAATCAAAGTTAATTTGTTTCTTTGAAAGAATATTTTAGTAATTAAATTTTAATTATCTTCAAAATATTGATTATTGTATCAAACATTGTTTATTTAACTTGTACAGTATTTAAATTCCATTATTAATTACTACCTATTTTTGTTAGGGTTGGGTTTAAAACTGAGGGTAATAGGCTCGTATAATTAAGCTTTTCATCTTTTGATATTTACCTATATGTTAAGCTATATGTAAGCTATTTAGACGGATGAAAACTGCTTTGTCTATATTACAAACAATTCGTTGTCTTCATTGAATTTTATTTTTAATAATTACAAGTAATAATTGCTTTATAAGCAAAGATGTGTAGTGGCTAGTAGTGAGATAAAGGATGCGAGTTTTGTTTTATTTGGGACTCGTCAGCGGAATGTAACTGCAACTCAGAGTTGGTGTTCACTCAAGTAGCCATCAGGACTCAGTAATTAAGTGGATCACGCGATGGCGTTTAAAGCGAACGTTACTGGGTTCAAGTCTCAGAGTGAACATCAACTCTGAGGTACAGGTATATCCAGCTGACGAGTCGCAAATAGAACGAAACTCGCATCCTTTATCTCACTACTAGCCACTATACATCTTTCCTCATGATGTTTGTGAATTAACGCAATGTCGGGGCAATACGCACAGGATGCATATATGCCAACAAGAGACTAGTCAATTATAGTCCTAAACATCACTGGGAAGATTCAAGTAAACAATATCAAGTAAATTTAATAATTGTTTTATTACAAAGTTTTATTGTGATTTATAAGTGAGAAACAGACTAATAATAACAATGTATTTGAAATAATTTTCGATGAAAACTGTACGTCATTTTATAACCAAATTATATATTTGTAATATCCCAATGAATAGAAAAATTAGATTTTCTGACGTTTCGTGACTTAATGTAAGTCACTTCTTCAGAGAATATTTTGTTAATCTAAAATAAAATTCTGTTATATTTAATAAAAAAATTTCATTATTAACACTATTTTCTGTTTTCAACTATTTTCTATTTTTAAAAAACAAACAAACAGTTTACGCAGACGTGCCAAACCGGAATTGGAAAATGAACAACACAAAGATGTATCACTTCGAATATCCATACAAGAAGTTAAAAATCTTTCAGCTAAAGGACGGTATGTTTTACAGTAATGGAATAGGGTTTCTTTTAAACAATTTCAAAATAGTTTTTTTTAAATAAATTTTTATTCATGTATCAATGAGTATTTTAATTAAAATGTCAAAAGAATGCGTTACATAGAAGACGCCAAACCAATAAAATAGGGATTATAACCCATGAATTTATATATGCAGACTGACTATTGAGCTGTTAGTGAATTATTGTATATTACGTAACCTACTTTTTGCATATTTCTAACCATCGGAAACCTTCCAAGTTTGTATGGAAAATAGCGACAAAGTTACGGTATAGTCTACATGTGGAATGAAATGTAACAGTCTACCAATCATTATATCATATAATAATATTCTCAATCAGTAGTACATATTACAAATACTTGGAGTGTTCTGTATCAGACGTTTTAAAGACCCTTTGGATTTAACTATACAAACCTTTTCATATTAGACAAGAACGGACAATTTCGAGTACTGATTAGTTCAAAGTATAATAGATATTATTTAGTGTTATTTTGTAATTTGCTGTAGCTCTATTTCTCTAGAATTCATGGAATACACATTCGTTCGACGTCATTTTCTGACTTGATCATCATTAAAATTATTTGTTTAATAAAAAAATATTTTTTCATTGACATTTGTTTGTTTTACCGATAGAAACTATTGCTTCGGTGTAATTACTTTTTATTAACGTTAACTAATAATGTTGTACAGCAATAATTTTTAACGGCAAATCATAAGTGGACAATCACTAGTTCATATTGTAGCGAATGTTATGGTTTTTGATTATTATGATCTATTTAATTCGCTTTTCGTCTATTACATCACTTCATAGATAAGAAAAGACCTATATGAATGATGTATGCATACTGATTTATTTTAATTAACATATGAAAAACCAAATCATTTATTATAAAATATACAACTTATTCTTCTCATTTATCCAATATCTACAGTTGAGGGAAATATTCAATCACTGAAAAAGTTATCCCAATGTGCTTACGACACAAAGAATTAGATATTTATCTATGGATCAAGCTAAAGGTTCATGTTTGCTATCAACATATTCTACGTTCAAATAAACTAGGCAAACCATCAGATCAGTCTAGATTTCTCTTATATATTACTAAATATAAAGAGTCTTATGACGTCATAGTATGAGTAGGAATCTGAGGTAAACATAAGAGAAATATTAGAAACAAAAATTAAGGTTGACATACAAACTCCCTTTGATTAAATAGGAATGAATATTTAAATATGATGTTTGAAACGAAAAAAAATCCTTCTATCCAATCACTAGAACATCTCAAATTATCTCAATAAGTGAAGCCGACAGTATCTTAACATTTTTCTCTTTAACCTGATTACATAGAAATTAGTTTTTTTGTTTTGTGTAAGTAGAAGGATTAAGAAAAAAAAATTTTGAAAACAAAAATCTGTTTATCTCTTATCAAGTAATCACTTAATTTGTTATTTTGGATTATATCAAAACCGCTTAAGAACTAATTCACTTCTAAAGCAAAACTTTTCAATATAATGAACTTAGATCAGTAAGTAAACACTTAAACCAGATTTTCTTTAAAGATATAAAGAAAAAAAAATATATTCAAAGTAATAAACTAGAATTTTATTACTGTAATATTATGTTGATAGGGTAGTAACCTGTTAAAAAAATACGGTGAATTTTATTAAAATCTTCCAATGTATATTAGTTTATAATGAAATTTCTTGCCCAACATAAGGCGATACTAATTTAAGCGAGAGAGAGAGAGAAACTGAATTAACTGAAATAGACTACTAAAAGCGGTACTAGTTTCCTGATATTACGAATAATTAAAATTTAAATCACTTTCAAATAAAATACTTTGAAACAAATGGAATTGCAATGAAAGACTATCTATGTGTTTTAATTTCTATCTTATATATTCACTTATTAAGTTTATGAGTATGAGGTTGTGGATATTTTTTAAGCTTTTTTATTAAGATCATGAACCGTTTAATGTAAGGCCACCATTAAAAACTTGGAAGAACTGGACGGCCGTTTCTTCCTATTGTGGAGCTCCTCAGCAGAGCACATCCATGATCTAGCTTGTGAGAGGTTAAGCGTTCGCGTGCGAAACTGAAGGCCCTGAGTTTGAATCCCACGAGAGGGATAGTGGATTCACACTGCTGAGGTGTCCCACAATAGGAAGATATGGCCGTCCAGTTCTTCCAGGTTTTTAATGGTGGTTTAACATCAATCGGTTCATGATTTCAATAAAACAATAAAGTTTATGGATATGCTGATTTAACAAAAGTATAAAACCAAGTGACTTGACAGTGTAATTCACTGTACTTCATAGTTTATATTTTCAGATACCTGTTAAAAATTTATAAACTTTGATTTTAATTTTGTAATAATTTGCGAAGTAAAGATGGATGGTGGCTAAGAGTGGGATTTGTGACGCACGTTTCGTCCTATTTTGGACTCGTCAGCTGGATGTGTCTTCATTCAAGAGCTGACCTCCACTCCGAGACTCAAATTTAGCACCGTTCGCTTCAAATGCCATCACGTTATTCACTCAGCTACTGAGTCCTGATAGCTGCTATTTTGTGCAATTAGGTAAAGTTTAAATCTACTTTGTATTGTTTGTCTGAATCTTCGCATTAATAAAACACTTGTCCTGGACTCCACTACCAGTCATCATTCACCTTTGCTCATAATGTTTGTAAATTAAGGCAATATCGAGGTGATCTGTACAGGATACACATATTCCAATAAGTGACTGATGAATTATAATTCTAAAAATCAATGGGAAGATTCAAACAGACAGTACAAAGTGAATTTAATCTGGGAAGTGTGTTAAATATACGTACATTTTTATGAATTCTCTTTATTGTTTCAGATTGTAATACATTATTTATTAACAAGGGATAACTTGTTTTTTTTCAGTAAATTAAATTTTAACATATGCATTCTATACAAATACCTTCATACTGATAAAATATGTTAGAATTAGCCTGTAGATTTTAATGATAACAATTACATCTAAAATGAAATGTGTACTTTAATTCATAATACAATGGACTATAAAAATGCATATAAAGTACTTAGATCACGTTAATATATATTGGTTTCCATAATGATTATCAAATAAAAGAAGCTATTGATAATTAACACACATGATTAAATGAGAAAACAATGATGCAAATCTTGAGTATTTATTCTAGTACATTTGTAGATGTAAACAGGATACAATAAAATAGGTCAATTCAAAGAATGAATTCAAGACCAATAATGAATAACCTTCTACACAATGCGGCTTCTAGATTATCTTTTTGTTAATATAAATGTGAAAATAGTTTATATTTTGGAATAAATATCAATGTAAACGTATGGTGACAAATAATGTTTTTCACAATGAATTAGGTTTAGAGAAATGTGGATACTCATAATTTTCAGTAGAAATATTCCATAGAAATTGACCAAAAGTTGAAATTTAATGATCATAATAAACGCTTCACTCAATATCATAAATATGGTAATAGTTAAGAGTCCTCAGATCAAAATACACAAAATTGTACAAAAAATCATCTTTAATTTACAATTCAACTCTAAATATTCAGATTTATAATAAACGTTTTATTGAACGTTCATTATATGCCGCAGTCTTCAAGTGTAAACATTTCCAATCAGTATTTGTACTGCATAACATGTTTGGCACATGAATTTCACTATAAGTGTCTCTTGTTTCTCTAAACATTTGGTAAGGAAGAAAATATCTTAACTACTGTCATATTTTTATCTGAGTTCCATAACTTGTGGCATCTTAGAAATTTGTGGACCCTTCAAGAAAGGCATGCATAGACTATGTGTTTTATAACAAATCAATTTAATATTTGTACAGATAGGAGATAATTGACTTTATGGTTCGAGAAAACTGAGCCCAATGTTAGTTCAGAGTTTATTATGGAAACATACAAAGGCTTTCAAAATAAAAATTTGAATTTCATTTAAACCTGAATCCAAATTAAGATACCTATTTCTCACTAACCTGTACAAATGGTTTATAGTTTAAAAAAACGATTACAAAATTCTGCGAAACCTTAAACAACTTTTTATTTTAGTAGAATTTAATAAATATCAAATATTTGCTATAAGCAATTGACTTAATTGTCCACTCGTTAAGAATTGAGAAATCGTTGAGTACCGTGTAGCGCTGGGCGAATTTCTTGCTCTAGCATGAGACTCTAAAGGATTACAAACCCCAAACACATCAGAACTCTAACCTAGAAACTTCAGTCTTCTCATCATGTCAATTAGGTTTGGATCGTAGAGCTGAAGTACAAGGGTTCACTTCTTTCGAATTACTTCATTCAGTTATCAATTTGGCATGCTAGTTACCCAGCGTCATCAACAAGTAACTGATTCCCCACTGAGATGAATGAACATCACTAACCGTTTCTCAATAAAACTGAAAAGACTCATCTCAGTCATTTTCCAACAAACACATGATTAAGAGTCAACTATATTTTTCACTGTTATGCTAAAAATGAAGGGGCTTTTATCATTACCTAGAAAATATAGTGCGAGCATAATGATAAGAATTCAAATAATTTATTTACACAATCATCTACTGTTTGCAAATATGTCTAGAGAAATTTTTACAACCAGAACAATTTTTAAAACTTTATGTTGAAAATATTTTTATTAAGCAGTTAATGTTAATTCGTGTTAATTTAAATGAAGATTCTATTTTCGAGTTATGACTAGACAAAAATGTAATTTTCAATAAATTAAATTCATTACAGTTCAATTCATGAAAACCTGGAAGCATTAGATGGCCGTTTCATCCTATTGTGAGATTCCTCAGCAGTGCGCATCCACGATCCCGCTCCACAAGATTCGAACCCAAGACTTATCGTTCTCGTGTTTCCAGGTTTTCTATGGTAGTCTAGCTTCAAATGACTCATGAATTCAACTATTAAAATTACTACAATCTCCACAAAACCCCTATCTGAT